TCCCAGCCATGGTTTATAATTTAGACAAAACTGAAATTTCCAAAACTGACCTAGAAATTCGATCTGATTTTCGTTAAAAACTCGATTCCACAAGTAAAAATCATTTTTTTTCCGCACAATCTGACAATTTAAATGACAACTTCAGTAACTTAGAACATCTTTCCGACGTTTTATACAACTTTGAAAATTTTTCGTTTTGGAATTTTTTTCAGTTCAAAGCTCGAGCTCAATTATGAGCTACCAGTGGTCGAAAATTCCTAGAAAAATTGCATTATAATTATGAGCATTCTTGAGATAATTCCTATTAATTTCAGCGCAAAATCTTATCCGGGAGCCAAGTTATTCGCGATTTATTCCAAAAACCCTAAAAATGGCAAAAATTTCAGAAAATAATTGTTTGTAAAACTTGAATAGAGGAATCAATTTTTGTGTAAACGGTCAAAATAGACTGTTTTAAGACTATTTCAACAGTTTCCAACAAAAAATTTCAATTTTAAACTCTAAAATAGTTGAGTTTTTTCATTTTTCTGGGGGGGGGGGTCCTATAATTATTGGACGCCTGCTGGAGGGTCTTTTTGTTAGTACGGGTTTCTGAAAAGAGTTAGGAACATGAAAATGTGTACCTGGGGGTTATTTTGTATTCTGGATCGAATGGCGTTTACAGAATTTCGATATCACTTTTAGCTTTTTCAGAACCCCCAAAATTTAGGAGGGTCCTATAATTATTGGACGCACTGTGTATAGATTTCAAAGTGAAAAAAAAATAGTTATGTTATTTTGATATATTCTATATTCTGACAGAGCACAACCTAAAATTCAAAGATAATTTTTTCCTGAAAAAAAAATATTAATAAATGAAACGTTTCGAATTTCCGAACGTTTTCTATCAAACGGATATATCAAAACTCTGAAATTATATTGTAGTTGGAGCCAAGAATTGGATGAAAAACATAATTTTCCCGTTTTCTTTCACCGTTAGTTGATTTCAAAAATTCTTATTATTATATTTTCCGACTACCGAGCAGTAAAAATCACATTTCAGAATCTAGCCATCTCGATGTACCAAAGAAAACTCTTGATTATTCAGAATCTCGTAACTTTCGAACCACAAAGTTTTTCGGATTTCTAAATGTTATCGAAATCCAAAGAAGGTTCAATTTCCAGATCACCCAACTTTTTTTTTCATCTGTAACTGTTCTCTGAAATTCACGATCAGCGAACTCTGATAACTGAATTTTTGACCTACTTTGCTCTTTTTTATCATCTTCTAACAGTTCATACAGCTGGTTTCCTGTTTTCCAAAACAGATTCTTCTTTCTATTTTCCATCTTCCCATGGGCAAACAAAAACTGACTTTATTTTTGAAACAGTACATTCCATTATTATTTATTGACAATCATTTTTTCTACTTGATCTCTAATCAGATGAATAGAAATAGGGAATAACCTCGTGTGCAACCGTTTATTCTTTTTTGTTCTGTGTTCTGATCCGCGCGAATATGACACTTGGCAACAATCCAAACGCATCACAGATCTGACCAAAATGAAAGAGAGAAAGAGAGAGAGAGAGAGAGAGAGAGAGAGAGAGAGAGAGAGAGCCAATTCAAGAGTCTCTCTACAGAGACAATAGCAGTAGCAACTCAGCATATGACGTGCTCTTTTTCTCATCGTCCGTCTCTAATCATATGGCGCCAAAACGGTTTGTCTGAGTCTCTCCTACTCCAACACTTTCTAACTTTTGAACGGTTTCTGAGAGAGACGCAGGCATACAGAAAAATCTTCGGTGTGGCTCTTTTTTCGAGGTTTTGAGAGAGGATGAAAAATACGCAATATATCGAGAGAGAGAATTAGAACAAAAAAACCATCATGGCGCCAATCAAATGTTGATTTTGGCGGCGATTTTGGACACAGAATGTCTCTCGCCAAAATAAACAATACAGTGTCAGAAGTTTGATGAGAAAAAGCTGAGGGGGCTATCAATCATCGTTTGGACGATGACAAACGTTGGAATTATGGAGGGGTTGGTGGGCTCTGAAATTTGAAAGAAAAAGAGATTTTACAGATAAATGCTTACACTTTGAGCTCAAATCATATCAAATTCTATAAGAGATATTTGAACCTATGAACTATAACAGTGTTGAATAAATTAGGATAAGCATTCCTTCAGTTGACTGATTTTCAATATCTTTTATAGGAAGTCGAGATAATTAAGCTCAAGAATGTACGGTACACTTTTGTTAGAGTGGTTACAGTAATTAAGATTTGATGGAAAAATTAATCAAACTGTGATTTCTAGTACATTCAAATGAACTGCATGATTCGTTGAGAATTTTAAACCAGATCCTAAATTTAATTTCTAAATTGAAATATGCAGAAATCAGAAACTTTAAATAGTCAACACACTCTAGAAATTGAATATTTAAACGAAGATGGGAACTAAACTTTGAATTTCAGATTGTAAATTTTTGGAATCAATGAACGAATATGATTAATTATGCTCTGAAAAAACTTGAGTTTTGTAGATTTGACACAATCGAGAATGTGTGCCCAGTCATGTAAAACTCGGTGTCACAAAATGTGTGCCCCTACAGTTCCCCTAGCAAAATCACAGTGTTTCCTGTGTATCCGATCTACAAGATAATTTCAGACTTTCATCTCCAATCTCAAAACGTCATGATCTCTTCGTTTCCCACTCTCAACACCACATCCACACATCTCATCACAATCTCCAACAGTCATTTTTTACAGTTTCTGTTTTCCCACATTTCTCTGCGTCTCCACAATTTCTTATACTATTTCACTTCGAAACCAAACCACATTCCCTTCATAACTGAGCATCTCGTCTGCCTTCTGTATCCCATGAGAAACTATTTGTTCTCTTTTTCTCTCAAAATAACTGTTTTTAGCGTCTCTCAGATTCCCACTCTATTTCATCCAGCTCGACCGCACCCTTTCTCAGTGAACCTACCGTTTGTCTTTCTCTGCGTCTCTCGGGATCACACACTCTATGCGATTTTTGGCTCCGCGAGGGTCAGTGCTTGCTCCGTGAGACGAGCTACTGCTGAACTACAGCAAACTGTTAAGTTTTTTGAAAGAACTTTAGAAGAGGGATTTTCAGAAAGAGTTTGAAATTTTATTATTCTTGAATCCGGTTTCATAATACCAGGAACAACGTCATGTTGAATTTTCGGGTTCCTCAAGACCAGAGCTGTTGGATAAACAAAATGATTCAGTTTTGAATATGACACGTAAGGGTATAAAACCAAGAGTTTGCACCTGTATGCGAAAGAGAAAAGATGCACCGATATTCGATTTTGATTTTTGTGGTTTTGACAATTTTCACATCGGTGTCACTCGCTAAAATTGATATTTATAAAGACGGTGAGTGCAAAAATAGAGTATCCGAAAATATCAAAATTAGTTTGAGAATCATTAAATCCAGAATATTTTTGTATTCCTGAAAATTGACTAATTTAGATACAAGAAAATTACTCTCATCTGAAAAATTTGAATTGAAACCAAAAGAAATCTCAAATTTTCTACCACTCCTTTTTAAAGGTGGGGGGACAGGAGATTTTTCGTAGTTTTTTTGTAGCTAGAGTATGCATTCTACCGTCACGGTGTACAACGCTTAATGTCACTCTGCGTACAGCTGTCGTCCTCGCCTTTATGTATGCAATCGGGCGTGCGCTTTCTCTTTGCCCGCGTGGCTCAGTCGGTAGCGGCGCCGCACCCTCAATCATCGCCCTCACAAGTTCAACTCCTCGAGAGGCATCTTTGAACGGAATTTCGAGAACATTATTTTTTTCATGTCCCCCCACCTTTAATTGAAATGGTGTAGAAAAACTTTTTTCAGAAATTATTCCAGAAAATTGTCTGATTTCTTTTTTAGGCTGGGGATGGTGCACCAACATCAAATGTGACGAGTTTTGTGTAAACCAAAAGTACAATTTTGGAACATGCGAATGGTATCTGCTGATGCGATCGAGATGTCTGTGTTGTAATATCAACTGATCTTCATTTGTGAAACATTCTGAATAAATTTGAGGCAAACGATACAGATTTTTATTAGTCAAAATCAATTAAGAAATGCAAGAGCAGCTCAAATAATTTTTTAATTTCGTTTACAAGAATGCTTAATGGTGTTAATGCTCTTTGATGAGCACAACTCAGTCGACGAGACCATATTCAGAAGACTGTTTTGATCATCATCCATCTCCACAGTCCAAATCCATACTCCTCCCAAATTCATTGAATTCACGTATTCGATTTTAGCATCGATACTCTTCTGGTCTTCGAAAGTTAAATAAGTTTTGGTTTCCGGTTTGTAGATGTACGAACTTTTCGATTCTTCGTCCCATGTTGCAGGTGACAGTTTGTATTTTCTGTCTTCCACGGTCCATCTAGACAGGTAAGCATCTCCGACAGCCTTATTATCTTTCAGTTCCACATTTCTAATCACCTCCTTTCCTGGCTCAACAGTTTCCTTGACATGTCTCCATAGTCTTGCAAAAAATGGAATTGCGATGTTGAATTTGTTGGGTTGCTTCGTTTTGCAAACGAAATACTTGATTGTGGCATCTACACTGAATTGAGTTCTTCCCTCCACAGTATTATACAATTGAGCAATCGGTCCAGCAGGATTTCCCCATTGATTTTCCCATGGTCCCTGATAATCCATTGAGTAGACATTGAAGAAGTCGACGTCTTCTAGAGATTCCTCCAGATCGTATGCCATCTCCCAATTGGCAATATTTGGAGGAGGAATGGTTAAAGAAATCAAGTATGGGTTTCCATCTCTTTCTTCTTCTTTCAGTTTCTTCTTGAGATCTCGAACAAACTCAATGTATTTCCATTTATCGTTTTCTTGCGCTTCTTTCCAATACAAATCCACTCCGTCAACTTCATTCTTCTGCAGGAATTCAGTTATATTATTGATGAAATATCTGAAAAATACGATTTTTGCATTTTTGTCAAACACAGTTTTAAACAAACAAACTTCTTTTGGACGGAATCTCTTGTCACATTATGAAAGTGGTCAGAATTCCCATATCCACCGATGCCAATCATCACTTTCAAATCAGTTCGGGAACTTTTCGCCTTATTTTTCAAGCTCATAAACCTATTTTCCGATTTTTCACTTTTAAATCGCAGCTCTCCATTATATCTCATCTCAGCGTATGCAAACACGGCATGTGTTAATTTTGATAGTTGATGTTTTGTGATATCAACGGATTCGAATTCGGTATAATAGCCAACAACACGTTTTTTACATGCGGATGGTTCTGAAATTTTTGAAATCATATTGTGGGATTTCTAGTAAGAACTCACTGGAAGTATTCCGTCTTGTTACCGGACCCTTTGTGCTCATCTCAACTAAAATTTTTGAAAAATTCTGAAACTAAAATGTTCTCCAATTTACCATCAATTTTCTCTTCCAGTGAGAATTTATGCATCATTATTCCAACTTTGATCAAAAATCCAATGACAAGAAGAATCATACAAATGATCATACAGTACTCATACCAACTCCGTTTATTGGTTTTGGGTTTGCTGTTGGTGTGAACATAATCACTGAAAGAAAAAATCAATTCGGTCAAAATGTACATTTTCAAACAGTACCTGTAGATAGGAGAGAACGCCACATCAGTTTGAGGTTTGTTTTTTGATTGTGATATCATCTGGAAATCTTATTTAAATAGAAAATTTTTTGCCAAAACTGTATAAATGAACACGGAATGACTTCTTATATAAGATCTAATACGAAGTTAGAAGACTAATCTACTAGAGGCGGTACAATCGAAGAATCACCTTGACCTGAGATGAAAACAACACATTTCTTGCTCATACTTACATTAGAACATGAGGAAGTAAACCGGTTTTCTTATCAATAGGAGATTCTGTTGTGATGATACACACGCATCGATTTGTAGTCAGTTGATGGCTCTAGTTGGTTATTTTGGATTTTAAAGAAATTTTTGGATTTTAAACAAATTTTTGGATTAAAAAAATATTTTGGATTTTAAACAAATTTTTGGATTTAAAAAAAATTGGATTTTAGAGAACTTGAAAAACCCTAAAATCCAAAAATTCCGTGTAGTGAAAATCTCATTGGTAAATGAATCCTATCGCGGTTAGGGATTGAGGGGTGATGAGCCCACACTCCTAGCGAACCGTGACTGCTATGCAACCCTTGGCTCCTTCCGTTGAGATGGTAGTTAACAGTGGATTGGTTCACAATGTGTTTATTGAACACTAGCTGGGCAACATGGATCCCAGAAGGATACAATGGATGTTAGTGAATATGGTGACAAGAAGGGGGAGCGAGGGAAGGAGCAACCTTCCTACATGGCTGCAGGTTGGAAGAACTGACTAGAATAGGATGACAATTGATCAGTGATAGAGGATGAGAGAGACGCAGAGACAAGGAGAAATTTCTGGCGTCCTTTAAAATCCAATTTTTTTTTAAATCCAAAATTTTTTTTAAATCCAAAAATTTTTTTTAATCCAAAAATTCCCTTAATATCCAAAATAACCAACTAGAGCTCAGTTGATTGAAAATGAAAATTTTATAGGTTGAAAAAGAACAAAAAAGGTTTAACACAACTTAGTAACAGAATTCAAAAGAGTGTTCTCATCGTCATCCATATCCATAAAACGGATCCATAATCCTCCTAAGTTTTCCTCTCTGATAAACTGAAGTTTCCAGGATATGCTTTCTTCGTTTTCGAATGTCAAAAAAGTTTTAGTTTCTGAATCGTAGATGTAAGAAGACTTCGACTTTTTATCCCAAGAAGTTTTATGTTCTGTCCAACCGTCTTCTTTCATTTTGCTAAATGGAACCTGAGAAAATTCATTTTGAGCATCCCTAAACATTTCTCTTCCAGGCTCCACAACGTCTATAGCATTACTCCAAATCCTCGTAAAGAATGGAATAACGATATTCAATTTTTCGGAGATCTTGACTTCTTTATTGAAGTACTTCATTGTAGCGTTAACGTCCAGCTTTTTCCATCCATCGAATCCAGAATATAACGGAGAAATCGGACCAGTCCGTGTTCTATCCGTATCATAATACCCCATGGAAACAACATTGACAAAATCTGCGTACTTCAAAATCTCGTCCACTTGAAAAGTTGCTCCAGAATTTGGTGGGGATGGGAGAGTCACAGAAATCAATTGACTCCCATTCAAACGGATTCGAAGCTCCTTGAGCAAGTTGATATTATTATGATAATTTTCCCTCTCCCAATTCATGTCAACGCCGTCTATTAGATGATTTTCAAGGAACGATGCAACGGAATTTACGAATATTCTGAAATCAAAAAGTTAGGTTCATGGAATAAACAATTTCTGAATCATACCGTGTGTATTCAGTCTTTTGAGCAATTTCACGATAACTCGTTTTCCCACAAATTGATATCATTACTTTAACATCCGTTTCCACACCTTTTGCGGTAGACTTGAATTTCTCAAATGCTTCATCAGTCTCCTGTGTTTTGATGCCCAGTTCCCCGTTGTAGTCCATGGGAATTTTCGCAAACACCGCATGAGTTAGTTTAGAAACTCGCGCAGCTGTGATTTCCTTGGCGTCAAATGCATTAAAAAATCCAATGATTCGTTTTTGGCAAGCCAAGGGTTCTGCAAAGTTTCGATTTTACTGAAATATTGGTATGATTAATAACAAACTAGTAGTCGTTGTTGGCATTGTTGTGGTTGTAATGCTGGTAGTTTCCAGAGGTTCTACAGTGGTATTGGTAACATCCGGTGATACGACATTGTCATAAACAGTCCAAATAATTACCGATAATCCTAACGAAAGTATCCCACAGACAATCAAAATAACAATAAATTCTGCAATAATTTTACAACAACGTACTGCATTAGGAGACCTACAAACAACAATCTTATTCAGGGATTGATAAATAATTCTTACCTTTGAGGTAGCATTGGTTCCTTGACTCTCTCATTTTCTCCAGTTGCCATTTTCAAGTTTTATGTAGAACTTCTTCAAGATATTCAGAAATATGAAGACCAAATATAAAATTTCAAAAAAGTATGGTATAAGGAAGACGAGAGATAAGGGTGGTTGGCACAAAACGACTGATCACATTTCGTTGCTAAGATTAAATTAGTGTGAGGGGGACTGTAGAGAGAAGGAGAGTGTGAGGGGGACTGTAGAGAGTGTGAGGGGGACTGTAGAGAGTGTGAGGGGGACTGTAGAGAAGAGAATCTCTGATTCATACTTGTTTGTGAAGAAAATGATAACAATCTTCCTTATATATAAAACGCTACACGCGTCTGTCTGTCCTTATGAGGATCTGTCTACTTTTGAAAAGCTTCAAAAATTAATATAGATTACGTGACCCTTTAAGAAAACGTGAGAAGCGGACGACGAATCAGTAAAAAACTAGGTTAAATCGCGCCGAAGCTGATGGTCCGGCAGGTGTCCCCGATTGATTAGGCCATGGTGCATAGTAATCCATAGATAATACATTTATGAAATCCACGTGTTCTAGAATTCCATCCAAATCGAATCCAGATTCCCCGTCGATTCCTGCTCGGGGAGCTACAATGGATAGAACCAATTTTTGGTCAGCTTTCTTTTCCAATTCATTCAACTTTTTTCTCAACTGCTTAAGAAATTTGGAGTATCTGAACTTGTTAGATTCAGTTGGTTGTTCCCAGTATACATTAACGCCATTGATTTGATGATCTTTTACGAATGAGACAATGGATTTCAGGAATTTTCTGAAAATAATTCAGTTTCAAAAAAGTAACCATAAAATTGCCTGCCGTTTCCTTCTCCAACTCCCCAGAACCGTAGAAAAATGCTCCGAGTTTTGGCTTCCTCCGATTGAAATCATCACTTTTACATTGCTTTCCATATTTTTCGATTTTTTATTCAAACTCAAAAATCTTTGTTCCATGGTCTTGTTCTTGAATTGAAGTCTTCCACTCTCCGTCATTTGAACACATGCGATTATTGCATGAGTTAGTTTAGAGAGTTGACTTTTACGAATATCCCTGGATTCAAATTCATCGTAGAATCCGATTATTCGTTTCTCATAGACAGGTGGTGCTGAATTGACAATCGTGGTCATTTCCACATCTCGCACGGGTATTTCCAGAGGTGTGGGTGGAGCCATTGGTTCTGAAAAATACTAGTTCTGAGTATTGTTTTCACATAATTTTTCTTTAGGAATATTCAGAAACTAAAAAAATTTCAAATTACCAAAAGCGAAAATCACTCACCGCTATCCAAATTTTCATAATAACGCCAAACGGCTGCGGGAAGTCCCAGAGCCAAAATTCCACATAATATCAGAATCACTATTATGCCAATTGTGCTGCTTGTTGGGGTTTTGTCTGTTCCAATATCGGAATCTGGAAGGCTTAAGACATGGATTACGGTAACACCTGTAATAGAAGAGCTTTTTAATTTTTAGCTTTGAGCCAACTTATCTCGGTTCCTATCGAAGGTATCAAAAAGTCTACTGTTAAGTTGGTAATCATGATATCAGAGGTGTTTTTTCATTTGACTCATTTGTGATGTCACCAATTGATATTGAGATAATTGAGCTCAAACCTCACAGTGGGGACTCTTCTACAGGTTTTGAGGAAAGTGAAATTGATATAACATGAAAAAATCTAGACGAATTGTGTGTGTTTCAGGTTGAAAAACCGGCTAAAGATCAGCAGTGAAAATTATTGTAAGTTTTTTTGATTATTATTATGTGATTAATGTAGATTCTCTAACATAGTTGCACCCTGCCAGTCAACTTTGACCCATTTCGTTCTTCATAATGTCAATAATATTTTATCAGTTATTCGCTATTTTTCGCTATTTTTCATAGGAACCAAGAGAAATAGAGAAATTAATTTAAATAGATACGGTATTTTATTTTTCACTCACCTTCTCCGGTCCCAAAAAAGTGCAAAATCGCAACCGATAGTCCGAATGCCAAAATTCCACAAACAAACAGAACGACTATAATCAGAGTGGTTGCCTTACAGAACCTTTCCTCTACATGAGCCTCTTCTTCATAATCAACAACCTCTGGAGGCCTGAAAAATTAGAATTCTACTATTGGTAGTCTCCATAACAGTATTCAAAGCACTTACCTGTATTCTGGAGGTAGGAAAGGCTCGTCTAGCTGCGTGTTGTACACCAGCTTTTTCATTGGGAACATTCTTTATCGACTGACTGATTAACAATGGGACGATGAAAAGAAGACGAAAAAAACTCAAAATCCTGCCATGAGGAAGAAGAAAAAAGCCGGCAGATGTTCTCGACTCAAGGGTAAATATTTAGGGTGTCTTGTACAAACTGAGGAAGAAGAAGAAATATTTAAGGGTGATTTGCAATCCGGCTATTTCCTCAAAAAGGATGAGTCACTGTCCTCATCGTGAATTGATTCGCGTGTTTTGATCTAATTGTAAATGATATTGTTTGACTTCCGTTGTTATTTTAGACTTCGTTGATTTGCTGATTTTGGTCGGGACGGTCTGAAACGATGTGAAGTTTTGAAAACTTATGTTTCTTATTTTGCAATGCCGACAGTACCGGACAACGGTTTATTAATTGTACCTACTTTTTGAATAATTCAAAATAGCTACTTTTAGACGTCTAAAAAATAGCAGAATTTTTTGGCTGACAGAATTTTTTGGCTGTGAGACTGAGCATTTCCAGGTCTACTAAACGGAAATTTAGCTGAATACTGTAGCTAATTTCAAGCGGTATATCTCATTTGGATGAATTTGAAAAAAAAACTGTTCCCTAAACATTGGTTCTATTTTTTTTTCGGTAGATAGAAAATAAGTAAAATTAATAAGCTTTATTGTATTGAGAGTATTGAAAATATAATTCTTAGAAAATTGAACTTAACAACTTTTCATAGGATTGTACTTGTTAGACAAAAAATTGAACACTGAAAAAAATTAAATTTTACAATAAACATAAAAATCAGAAAATATTATTTTAAACGAATTCTGTTGTAGTGGAAATGTGTTTGGTCATGTTCAAAAGACTATTGGAGTGATCATTCATATCCACCAACCAAATCCATATTCCTCCCAATTTCTGTGTCTTGGCGTAGTTCATTTTGTCAGATATGCTCCTTCCAGTTTCAAATGTCAAATAAGATTTCGCATTTTGGTTGTAGATATAAGACGTTTTTGTAGTCTCATCATACACTGCATCCGACAATGTCCATTTCTCGTGATCTACTGCCCACATGGGAATGTAAGGATTCCCTTCTGGTTTTCCATCGAATAGTTCGGAATTTCGAAAAATCTCTTTTCCCTCTACTATGGGTGTTGTCACATTCTTCCAAAGCCTTGCATAAAACGGAATCACAATATTGAATTTTTCGGGTTGCTCTGTTTTTCCGACATAGTATTCCATTGTGTAATTGACATTGAAATTCGTTCTCAGCGCAACTCCACTATACAATGGAGCAGACGGGCCCACTGAAGCTCCCCATTGATTTTCCCATGGTCCATAGTAGTCCATCGACCACACATTCACAAAATCCACTTGGCTCAGAATCCCATCCAAATCAAAACCGGCCTCCCAGTTTTCAATTCCAGTGGGTGGAGCTGTTATGGATAGCAACTGATCACAGCTCATTTTTTGTTTGAGTTCCTTTAAGAAACTGCTGAATGCACATTTTTCCCCACGCGGTGGCCACCGCCAGAATATATTGACACCAGCAATTTGATTTGTTTCGATGAAAAAAACAATTGATTTCAATCACTGTTGAGAAATCTTGTCCTCCGATTGAAAACATCATTTTTACATTTGCATCTTTGGTTTTCCGGCTCAAATCCATAAAACGTTGCTCGCCAGAACTATCAACAAATTCAAGTTGTCCTTCTGACGTCATCAAGACAGAAGCAAAAACTGCATGAGTCAATTTCATAAGTTGACATTTTGTAATTTCTGTGGATTCCTCTCCTGAATAGAATCCCACAATTCGTTTTTGAGAAGGCGGTTCGTTGTCTGGAAATTAATTTTTATAATACAGTGCATTCCCCTTTAACAAATGAAATGAAATTATTTTACTTTCTGTTTGAATAATAGGTATCATGTCATAGTCAGTCATATCTGTTTGAATACCGTAAGGACTTTCCGATTCTGAAATCACTAGCATTTAAAACCTAGCAAGCATGACAGTGTCCAAAAGGTTTGAGGTTTATACTAGCAAGAAATCGGTCGTTCCGAGGAGGGGGACATGAGGAAAAAAACTTGACTGATAGGATAAAACAGCCAGGCGGTCCAAAGTGAACAAACAAAGACAGAAGAAACGTAGGTTGGCTTTGTCCAATATGTTCGATACAATTACGAAACTATTTCGAAATAAATCTTACACGAACTTCCCGAATTAGCTTTTGTCTCTACATATATTCTTTTTTGTCACAGTCATGGAAACACAAGTAAAAGTTTTTAACATTTGAGAATCAAAAGCAAAATTCAAAAATTCCAAAAAACGGTGGTACCAGTGTTGAGAACTCGGAAAATGAGAACTGCTACAAATAAGAACTCGTAAAATATATGTCAAAACCGGAATTTTTTGAAAAATCTTTAAAGGTGGGGGGACAGGAGATTTTTCGTAGTTTTTTTGTAGCTAGAGTATGCATTTACCGTCACGGTGTACAACGCTTAATGTCACTCTGCGTACAGCTGTCGTCCTCGCCTTTATGTATGCAATCGGGCGTCCGCTTTCTCTTTGCCCGCGTGGCTCAGTCGGTAGCGGCGCCGCACCCTCAATCCTCGCCTTCACAAGTTCAACTCCTCGAGGGGCATCTTTGAACGGAATTTCGAGAACATTATTTTTTTCATGTCCCCCCACCTTTAAGTATTGTGGAGAACGAAACCATTTCAAAACTATTTTTCTAAAAAAGTTGGATACTGAACCGGATATTAGAGCCGGTAAGAGGAGTTCTTATTTTCTACTCAGGGAATTTTTCGGCAAGTTGCTAACCCGAAAATTTTGCTTGCCGCTGACAAACGGCAAGCCGTTTTTTCGGGTCAGCAAATTGCTATTTTATAGAGCAAGTTGCCGTTTGAATGCCATCTGAACGCAGCAAGAGAACGGCAACTTGCTTTTTTCACGGCAAGCAACGGCAAGCAAGTTTCATGCATGCGGCAACTTGCTGATGTACGACCCTCCTCGAACAAGGTCAGCAAGCACTAGCAACTTGCTAATTTGTCCAGCAACTTGCTGATTCTGCTCAGCAACTTGCCAAATGGCTCGCAACTTGCCGTTTGCTTGCCCAAAATTCCCTGAGTAGTTCTCATATGTAGCAGTTCTCATTTTCCGAGTTCTCATCCCTGGTACCACTCAAGAAACCCTTTATTCATCATTATCATACTTGTGGAAAAGATGGCCGGCCCGCTTTTTGAAAATTTCGAAATTTTAGAGCGAATTATTATTTTTCAGGATTGATTGTCTTCTTAATAAATGAAAATCCACACTAGAGGCTGATTCTGTCGAATAAAACTGTTTTGAGGTCGTAATTAGAAAAAAAATCATCCTTGGCATAATGAATTTTGATTTTTTCTGCTAGAAATATTTTGGCACATTTGAGAAGTAAAATTTTCGAAAACTTATTCTGGGCGGGCTGTCCCGCGGGCCGGCCAGTCGGCCGGGCCGAGGGTTTTGAAGCAAGCAGGTCGGCCCGGCCATCCACATGTATGATTATTATCCTGTACGTCTAAAAAGTTCCAAACTATTATAGGAAGTCCCCGTATTAGTCCTCCACAAAAAAGTAACCACCATAGTTCAGAACAGGGAGTGGAGACACAGAACCAAGAGTTGTTTTTTTCAAAATTACATAGAAATTATCTATGTATTGTTTCAAACCTCATTTACTTGGTACATTCACATATAAAGTTCATGTAGTTTTAGATAATATATCGGCTATAACTTCACAAACAAATACAACCACACTGCTAATCATAATAGTTCTGCGGCATTTTCTGCACGATTTCGATTAGAAGTGTTGAGTGGGCAATTTTAGAATTTGGAAAGCATTAGAAACCTATGTTTTCAAAAAAGCCCTAAGCTGTCTGGGTCAAGCGGCAGAATTAAAAAAACGCGAAAAGGATTCTATCTGTGCTCTAAAGATCAGTAAACATGAGATACTGTTTTCGATCAATTTCATTAAAAATCTCAACATTTTGTACAGTATTTAAATCCGCTTTTCAACATTTCACTTCAAGAATCATGATGAAAAAAAAATCATCCATTGAAATTATTATCATTTTCTGGTCGAAAATCGGTTAGTCTGTGTGAAGCAACTGCATTCAGAATACTATTTTTTCTGCTGACGGTTTGTAGAACATGTATGAGTTGGTTGAAGTCCACTGGTCCTTTATCCTCAGCTACTTCCTCCAGGAATTTCAATTTTCTTCCTTCTGAAATACGATGTAACTATAATACTATTCTCTTTCTTTATCACGTTCAGATTCTTGTATCTCTACTCTACTCATTAGTTTGACTTTTCTTTTTGTGCTGTTGCATATCGTAATGTGGGGACTGGGCGGTCTCCCCTCTTTCGTGGCGGGATCCCTGGAGCTGCAAAGGTCTGTACCTTTAAACGCGATCAACAAAACAACAACAGAAATTGGCCTATTTAGAGAAAACCAGCTAATCCCAGAGAAAACAAACAATTCTCCTCTCCACTGCGTATCATGGAGAAATTGTTTTCTCTAGTCCTACGCTGAAATATAAGACTACAAACGAAAATTATGGATGATACAGGTTTATTTAGGATGAATACGGTATGTAGAATGCTAGAACCAGAAAAGCCTTGGGGTTCAGTGTGAAAAGTCTATTAATGCTATTAAAAATTGTGATCTACAAAACTCTGAATTCATTGATTCCCCTTTACTAGATCCTACGCCTGGGACTATAATACGCGTATTAATTGGAAAAACTCACGGTCTCTTATTTCTTTAATGAAATTTCCGTTCTGGTCAACCAAAGCTAAATAGGACGGGTGTGTCTTCCACAACGGTGTCGCTAAAATCCCCCTGCACCTATTCCTTCTAGCTACTTGAATCAATTTTGGCACCAAAACAGGCGGAGGTACCCACCAAGTAAGGGACTTTGCTGCACACGTGAAATGGTCAAAGGCGTCGGTTCCGCTGGAGGTGGGCTCGGGATATCTGGAAAAGTAAACACTGTGTTTAGCATTTCTCTCTGAAGCGAACAGATCGCATTTTACTCGACCCTATCTCTTCTGGGCCCATTCAAACGCCCAGTCTTGTACTCCCCAGTCATCTGTATCAAACTCTCTGCTTGCTGCATCAGCTTCTGTGTTTTCCTCGCGGGGAATCCACAAGAACCTTGCCGGCCCAATTTGCTCTACACTGTCCCATACTCTCTCCGCTACCTTATGCAACTCTAGTTTCATCGAACCTTTCTTCAGTACTGACACTGCCGCCTGACGACTATCCGAGTGTATAGAAATCGCGCCTCTTATCTGCTCTCTCAGTGTTCTTGTCGCGAACTCCACCGCCCTCAGTTCTCTCAAAGCGCTAGATTCCTTTCGGAAACTCACATCACCTATCTCTGACGCTTGCCATACTGTCTCTTTTCTGCTATTTTTAAGAACTGCTCCCATTCCTTCTGCTGAAGCATCAGTGTATAGTTACCAAGTAGGATCGAATTGTTCTTCGTTTATACTTCTCACTAAGTCTCCATTCTTTAGCTTTCTCTCCCAGAATTCAACTTCAAACAACTCACTCTGAGACATTGACACTTGAAGGTGTTGCTTTTTTGGGTTGTCGGAAGTCACCCTCGCCACTGTGGCCGCCAGATGTCGTTGCCGCTGCACTGACTCACATTCTGCAACAATAGACATTGAAGAAATGAAACCGCATAACTTTTGACGATCCAGGATCGTTGGCGCTTTGCTCTTTTTCATCTTAGCTAACTGATTTCCCAGGGAAACTTCTCTAGATTCTGTCAATCTGATTGACTTAGTGACCAGGTCACATTTAATACCTAACCAAGTAAACTGTTCACTCGGTGTCCAGAACGATTTTTCTTCTGCTACTGTTACACCTGCTGCTGCCAGCTCCTCTCTTACTAATCTCATCGCTTCTACCGCTTCTTCCCTCGTCTCCGCTAATATTAACCCGTCATCAATATATAAGAAAATTTTTACCCCATTTTCTCTCCATCTGCCCACTAAAGGCCTAAAAACCTTGGTAAGAAGCCATGTAAAATCAAAAGTCGCAGCATAATTCGCTTTTTCTAGGAATGGCCATACCGCTCTCCAATCTTCTAATCGAAACCTAGGTGTCTCAATTCCCTTGTTTAGCGCTGATAAGTCTAGAATCAATCTTAACTTCTTCCCATTATCCGCTACTTGAAGTGGACTACATACTATCGGATTGATTGTTTCCACCACTACTCCTGCTTCCAATAATCTCCCCACTTCTTCATGAACGAAACCTAACAATCTGTTTGACATTCTTCTTATCCCCAGAGGATGTGGTAATTTGAAATTCTCAATTAATATAATCTCAAAACCTCTTTCTACTACTTCTAAAATCCACGGACTAACTGGAATACTAGCCCAAAATTTAGCTTTACTAGACATTAAATCTGGATTAACCATACCTTGGTTTTGCACATTGATTGGCGTAATGTCCTCCTTCTCCACAGTTGTAACAATGGATAACCGCTCGTTTTGTAGGATGAGCTCCCAAACCGTCTGCTTCGTGCTTCGGAACGGTCTTGGCTGGTAATGGTGTTGAGGGGCTGTGAATTGCCGGACTTCAGGGCGCCGTCCCCCGAAGTCCGAATATCGAAACAACTGCCTCGACGGGCCTGGTCTTCTCGAAGCACTCGGTTCTTCTCTAGCGAGAATCGACGCCAATGCCAAAAGCTTCGTGTCACTTGAATCCGATGTTCCCGTCAATTCCGAAATTGCACGCATGCTTTCGACCTGTTTGAGAGCTGATGGATTTCTGTCTAGCAACACAATCTCCTGATTTCGTTTCCGGAGCATCGCTGAAGCCTTGTCAATCGCTTCCTCGAAACTTCCTTTCTTCTTAGCTTCCGCTAACATGTTGATAAGTTGTACGTTGAAATCCACCTGATATTGATATCCTTTTTGCTTCAACGTTGGCGCCTTCTCCTTCTGGAATCCTTGCATCCGTGACAGGAGATTAATCCCAAACAGCTTGCTCTCGACGCTTTCAGCTAACTTGGTAGCAAAACTCTCCACAGCGAACTTGTTTGGATCCTGCGCAGGCCTTTCTCCAGAATCCTCGATCATCTTTTGATCCAATTTCGCACAAACTTGACACAAAAATCGCTTCTAAAACGACTCACGCACCACTACGTAACACACACGTAGACTGGAGGCCCGATGGGCGGCGCTTCCCCCTCTCTCCCCTCTTTTGTGGCGGGATCCCTGGAGCGCGCAAAGGTCTGTACCTTTAAACGCGATCAACAAAACAACAACAGAAATTGGCTAATCCCAGAGAAAACAAACAATTCTTCAACCCTATATTACGGAAAATGTTTTTTCCAGGAGCAAAAGCGCCTTGATCGTGTCTCCAAAGTCTTGCGTAGAACGGAATGACCAGATTGAATTTTGAAGGAGTCTTTGTTTCGCGCTCGTAGTACCGCATCGTAAAATCCACATTGAATTTCTTCTTCTCATGTATTCCTCCATATAATGGAGATGTTGGTCCGGCTGGTGTACCCCATTGATTCTCCCATGGTCCATAGTAATCCATACTGAAGACATTAACAAAATCCACATGCTGTAGAATTCCATTTAAATCATACTTGTAAAAATCCGAGCCGGCCCGCCAAAGCCCGGGCCTGAGGAAAACTTCAAGGCCCGGGCCCGGCCCGGAAGGCCCAAAATTTTGTCATTTTGAACCGAATTTTGAGCTCTCAATACAATTTTCTATATTTTTTGGGCTTTTTAGATTGTTTTTCTGTTTGATCAAAAAATATTTTTAAAAACTCGAAAAAAATTTTTTGATCGAAAAAAATCACATAAGGTTATGTGTTTTTTTGAAATTTTCAAAACTTTTGGAATGACAGGCCCGCCGGGCCTCCGAAATTCGGGAAAAAGCCCGGCCCGACCCGTTACAAGTATGATCTAAATCGAATCCGTTTTCCCATCCATCGATGCCAGCTGGTGGAGCAACTATTGATAGAATGAAATTCTTGTTTACTATACTCATAGATCCTTTGAGTTCCTTTATAAAATCGGTGTACTTAAATCTCTCGGTTTCAGTTGGCCACTTCCAGAAGATATCAACTCCATCAAGACGATTATCCGTGATAAAAGATATAATGGCTTGGATGAAGGTTCTAAAAAGAGTTTATGATTTATGAAACTGAAAACTTTGACTTACTTCTGCATTTCCGGTCGACACACCATAGCGGAAAAATGTTGGAAATTATCGTGTCCACCGATGGAAATCATTAACTTTGCACTTGCCTCGAAATCTACCGAGTATGGAATAATTGAGTCGGATTCTTGGTTTCTCGCTTTTTCTCGACAATAACAAAATCTCTCCTTGATTCCGTTGTTTTGAAATCCAATGGAACCATTATCAGTCATGTGAATATAAGTAAAAACTGCATGAGTAAGCTATTGAAATTGATTTGGTTTTATTTCAGAATCCGCATAAAAATTGAACAGCCCAATCACTCGTTTTTGATTATTCATAGTTCCTGGAAGTTTACTTCGAAAGGAGAACTTTGGAAATGAAAAGCTAACTTACCACTAATTGAATTTTTCAGCTAGAAGAATGCTAAGGTTTAAACTTGTTTTCTCAATTTTCCTCAGATATGCGAAAAAAACGATGCTGCTTGTCAAGAGTAGGAGCAGACAACGAGAGGAAAAGAGAAGTAAACGATGTGTTGGGAAAAATGAGTAAGTGTTTGATAGGTGGCCAGAGGAGGAACGATAAATGATGATAGAAACTTTGAATCTGTGCAGTTTGAACTGAACTTTTTGTTACTCAGGAAATATTTTTCAAACGATACATATGGTTTGATCATTACGATAATTAATTTGCAGAAGGCAGTACTGAAGACTGATGAACGATAACAAAGATTTAATAGTTTCAAAACATCAAAATTGGAGAAGAGACATCACGGATTCGATGAAAGTTCTGAAAGAATTTCTAAATTAGAGAACGATAAACAGGTCTGTTGGTCACCTCGTTTTTGCTGGATCCTCCAAAACGTCTGAAAAATTATCCGAATTATCTGGTCCTCCAATTGAAACCATAATTTTCAAATTTGTCTCATTCGAATCAGACTTTATTGATTTTGTTTTATTTTTCATATCCAGAAATCGTTGTCTGATCCGATCAGTTTTAAATTGAAGCGATCCATCAGCATTCTTTTGAATATAGGCAAAGACTGCGTGAGTCAGTTTTCGAAGTTGAATTTTTGTGATGGGAGTGGATTCGATTTCTGTGTAAAATACAACAACTCGTTTCTTACAATTTTCTGAAATTAGAAAAATGGTCCAAAAGTTAGAATTAATTTTCAGAATAATAAAATCACAGACTTAATGGATCGGACGTTGAGTAATCTTGTTGTGGTAGTTTCAAAGGTATCTCCTGAAAAAAGTTTCTTTTTACCAAAAATATTAAGAGTGACCTACTTTTCGTAATATGATCAAAATCTGTGGTTGGAATTTCTGTTGTCGTAAATAGTGGATACTCCGTTGTTGCTGAAAAAAATTAAAGTATCATTCCCAAAACATTATAACATGAATTTTTCTCGTTTTCAAAATCCCACTTTCTCCCATTGTTTCAGCTACAAATAAGCCAATGAATGAAATCAACAGTGCCAAGACTCCAGTAACGAATAACACAGAAATAATTACAACGGTCGCAGTGCAATAGCGCGCATCATCCAAAGATCCTTCACATTGACTGAAATTTATGATTTTATACTTCGAAAAAAAAAATTATATACCTACTTTTGTTCTATTAGTGATCTCCTCGTCTCTGGATTCCTCCGAGTTTGCATCACAACCCAATAATGAATAGAATAAGAAGAACAGTGTCAAATGATCATATTAGGAAAACTGTTTACAGAAATTTCTACAATGAGGAAGAGATAAGAAAGTGGTGATTGATGGTTTCTCTGTTGAGATGAGTCAATATTGTTCTTTTGTGTCTTTTTAGTAATTTTGCGAAAATCTCGAGTTCAGTAACACTAAACGATTTTTCGGAAATCAAAAATATCAAAATATCGAAATTATTTTTATCAGTTTAAATTTGTCATTTTCTTCATGTGACCTCTAGAAACAGAAAGTGATGGAACAGTTTTAGATAGTACTCATGTTAAGGAAATCCCCAGTCAGCTGACTTAACCTGTATCATTTAAATGGACCGGAGGTCTAGATGTCCTAATAAAAAAGTTCTTGGAGGTTTCTAAATATTTCGGAATTTAGAAAATGTCCACAGGAACGTCAGAAAACAGTGAGCGCCTTCTGGTACCGGTAAATGGGTAAGTCATTTATTTTTTGTTCTAATTGCTGATGTATGTTGTTACGAAATTTGGTCAAACCGTTTAATTTAATACCAGTGGAACTCCGCGGCTAAGAGTAAACCGCATGTTTTGTGAACTTCATACAATTTAAGTGATTCCCGAGCAACAACGAATCTTCTTGAAAAATATGTCTTTCAAAAAATTTATTCAGTTTTTGTGCAATTCAACAAGTTTGAGAATATTTTCGAAAAGTTTAGGTCTCAACTTTATATGTTCCTTATTCGTTAGAAGACCTTACAACCATCCTTTATGTTGAAACTCCATAATTTAACTTTTCAGACAAATGAATCCTCAATCTCGAAATTCGATATATTGTGAATCTGCAGCAATCATCATCAGTGTCCTATCAATCTCCGCGATAGTTGCTTTTTTACTGTCTGCTCTCATATTATACTGTGTCTTTCCAACAGAAGGTAATAATTATTCAAAGTTTTTAAGTTTTTTTTGAGATAATTTTTCAGGCATTCCAGAATCTTCCATTTGCAAAAACGAGTAGTTGGATACTACACCGGATGGGAATCCATGGAAATCAATCGGCAACAACTTTCCAAACTCACCCATGTCATATTTGCCTACGTAGAGATGAGCTCCAATGGAACATTGAAGTTTAGAAGCAAAGTTTCAAGACGAAGATTTTCGGATTTGAGATATAAAGTGAAAATGAACAACTCAAAAACAAAAATTATGTTTTCAATTGGAGGACCCGAAAATTCGAATCACTTTCCAGAAGTTGTAGCTGATTCAGAGAAGAGGAAGTATTTGTGAAATTTAAAAACCAAGCTAAAGACTTTAAGAATTCCAGAAGGTTCATCAACTCTATTCTTGACTTTCTCGATGTCTATCGAATCAACGGAGTGGATATATCATGGGCGTGGCCAAAAGAAGAAGATAAATGGAATTATGTCACATTTCTGAGAGAGTTGCGACAGGAGCTGAGCACATTTGCATACATTTTGTCTATCAAAGTCCCTCCTGTCAATGTGGGCGATTGGGAAATGAATTACGAAATGGAAGAAATTCTGGATCATGTGGACTTTATCAATGCTTTCACAATGGATTATTATGGCGCATGGGGTGATGAGTGGGGTACACCAACCGGACCATCTTCTCCTTTATACTCTGGAATTGGTACTAGAAAAACTTTCAATGTGAATTGGACCATGAAGTACTATGTATGCAGGACAAAACGACCTGAAAAGTTCAATATTGCCATTCCATTCTATGGGACACTGTGGAGAAACGTTGAAGATCTGATCAATCCGGACTATGAGATTTGGAGAAATGTAGAGCTTAAAGGCAATAAACCGGAAGGAAGAGCGTATATGTCTAGGTTAGATATGGCTAGAGAAGGCTGGAAAGTGACACCTGCATATTGGGATCAGGCAACAAATTCTTCGTACATCTGGGATCCAAATAAAAGGACATTTCTGGCATTTGAAAGTGATCGAAGTATAGAAGCGAAAACAAATTATGTCAATGAGATGGGACTCGGAGGAGTTTGGATATGGGCAGTGGATATGGATGATGAGAGGAATAGTCTTCTGAATACAGTCACGTCGAATGGATTGTGTGCAAAAGAAAGTGATGGGACGATCAAATACAAATGCTAAATCGAATATTTAACTTTTGTCGTTAACACTAATCTCGTTTTAAAAAAGGTTTATTGTATGTTTTCAGAAATGTGAAAAAAAAAAGTTGGAAAATAATATAAACAGATATTGAAAATAATCAACAATTAACAGTGATACTTCACATAAATTTGAGTCTTCTTTGAACATAATTCCTTCGAAAAAACCATATTGAGAACACTGCTTTTATCATCGTCCATGTTCAAAGTCCAGAGCCCCACTCCTCCCAAATTCATTGAATTTACGTATTCGATTTTAGCATTAATACTTTTCTCATCTTCAAATGTTAGGTAGGTTTCGTTCACTGGATTATAGATGTAGGAAGTTTTCGATTCTTCATCCCATGTTGCAGGCGATATTTTGTATTTTCTATCTTGTACAGTCCATCTAAACATGTATCCGTCTCCAACAGCCTTATTATCTTTTAGTTCCACATTTCTAATCACTTCCTTTTCTGGTTTCACAGCTTCTTTAACATGGCGCCATAATCTTGCGAAGAATGGAATCACAATGTTGAATTTACTGGGTTGCTTTGTTTTGCATACGTAATAATTCAAGGTTGAATCCACACAGTAGCCGTTTTTTCCCGGCACAGTATTGTATAAAGGAGCGATTGGTCCAGCTGGAGTACCCCATTGATTTTCCCATGGTCCGTAATAATCCATTGAGAAGACGTTAAAAAAGTCCACGTCTTTCAAAGAGTCTTCAAGATCGTACGCGAGTTCGTAACTAGAGATGACCGCAGGAATCGTGAGAGAAATCAAAAATGGTTTTTCTCTATTTCTGATTGTGAGACTTTTGCGTAGTTCTCGGACGAATGTTATGTATCTCCATTTATCTTCCTCGCTAGCACTTCTCCAATAGAAATCAACTCCGTCTATATTATACTCTTCCAGAAGAGTAACAATATTATTGATGAAGACTCTGAGAATATCTTACATAATTTCCTTGAACAGAAGGTATAAAGTCTTACTTCATTTTCTCGAAATTTCCTACCACTGAAGCAAAGTGTTCGGAATTCCCATATCCACCAATTCCAATCATCACCTTCACATCTGACTAAGCACTCTTTGCTTTACTGTTCAAACTCAAAATACGGTTTTTCGACTTGTCAGATTTGAATTGTAGTTTTCCATCCCATGTCATTTCGATATAGGCAAAAACGACATGAGTCAACTATGAAAGTTGTTGCTTTGTGATATCCATTGACTCAAATTCAGTGTAGAAACCAACGATACGTTTTTCACATGGTGAAAATTCTAGAAAAACAAGAAAAAACACTATAGATGTCATTATAAAACCCAACTTGTTTTTTGCGGTGGTAGTTGATTTTCGGAAGTAATCAAAGCTGTCGTCGTGGTGTTAGATAAGATGTTACTTGTAGTTTCGATAGAATTTCCTTGAAAATTTAATTGACGATGATAAGTAGCGAATTTTACTTACTTGTACGAAGATCTGCATAGATTTTGTCCTCGTTTGTAGCATACTGCAGGAAATCGATTTTTTCTAGAAGGAGAACAAATTTCTTTGGCAACTTTCACTTTTGGAAAGTTAGGCTCTTTATGATTTAACGGGGGTTTATTTAAATAACGGGGGTTTAAATATTAGTTTTTTCAAATTGTTTATTAGTCTTTTGATTGTTTATTTCCCTGATTCCCAAACCATGATGTTACTAACTTTTTTGTTTCTGTACTTTTTTGTTCGAAAATACAGTGTTCCACAAAAAGATGCGTCCACCCTTCTTGTGTTCTGAAACAATTATTTAGGTCAGTATTCGTGAAAAGGTCAACATGAAAAATAAAGATTTCCCTTCAAAACCTACGTACACAGGGTAACGGCTGCGCATGGTATATGTCTAGGCGCGCATATAGGATGCTATGTATGTGCACCCATAATAATTCCGTGGTCGCTGGGCACGACTGGTCGCCGGTGGGCGCACTATATGCGTCGTCGCTGGGCACGACTGGTCGCCGGTGGGCGCACCCATATAGCATCCATATAGCATGCACACTTTTCCCATGAAAACCATACTTGTGAAATTTCGGCCCGGCCCGGTTCGGCCCGGGCCGGGCCGGGCCGAGAGAAAATTTTCAGGGCCCGGCCCGGCGGCCCGGCAGAAAAAAAACAAAATTTTTGAAAAATGAATTTAAACAGCCGCCATTTTTGTCAAAGCGATAAACAACGCGAATGCGGAATTTCGGAGCATCGTATTTAAAACATTTTATTTTATTTTATTGTGTTTTTTCAATGTTTTTCGCATTTTCTTCCAGTTTTCTCGATTGTTTGCTCTATTTTGTCATCAAATTATTTAAAACTGATAATTGTAGAAACTTCCACGCCTCGAGCGCATCGTCTCTCCCTCAAAAAACTTGGATAAACTTTGTGAAAAGCGCACGCCATTGGCCCATCCTCCATACACAAAAATTGTTTTGAATTCTCGAAAAAAGTCCCACGCCTCGAGCGCATCTTCATAGCCATTATTCTTCCGAACAACCGAAATGAACCGTAAGAAGACGGAAGCCGATCGAAAGTTTCTGAAGCTCCTGGAAAGTGATGGAGATGAAGCCGTTTTGGTGAGCTTTTCGTGAAATATTGTTCCAAACCAACTAATGTTTCTAGGGAGACGAGTTCAAATCTGAATTAGTCAAGCAGATTATGATCAAATCAGTGGAGAGTTACGAATACTGTGCCTCAGGAAGAGCGTTGTGTACCCAATGCAAAACTTTGTTGTCCGCAACAGACGGTGGTCACGTTTTTCGGCATTTGGATCGATGCACTGGTAAAAGAGCTGCCAGCGAACCCATTCCGGAAACAAGTGATGAATCGCTCCGATCAGTAGAACCGTTGGCTAAGCAACGAAAATTGACAGGTACAAGAAAAAAAAGATACATATTTTCAAACATTGGTTCAGATTTTTCGAAGCGACAGTTCACAAAAGAGCAAACATCGAAAATTACTCGCGCACTTGCCAAGCATGCGTTGAGAACGGGAAAATCTTTCAATTACATGGGCGGAGATTGTATGAGAGATCTTGTTATTGATGTAGCGAACGCCACTGGCAGTGGAATATTCGGAAAGGAAGCCAAAGCTCAATCCCTCATCGCCAAACGATCCAAACACATACATTGAGATTTTCCGATGAACTTATCAAACGAGCTTTTGGTGAACTAAAGCCGTACGTTGGAAAACAACGAGTTAATTTGATCGTTGATCATGGAAAAATTGTTTCGAACTGCCTATCCATGTTTGCCTCGTACATCGACGACACATTCAAGCTAAGACTGTTGCCTATCGGATTTATCCCTAGTACAGATAGTAAAACCGGAGCAGACACTGCCGATGCAATTATCGATCGACTTCAATCAGTTGGCTGGTCGGAAGAAGAAGCGAGGGCTTGTTCCATTACTGCCGACGGTGCATTAGCAAATTTAGGTACATATTTTTCGTCTTGTAAGTTCATTCCTTTCTTGTTCTTTAGTGAACCAAAAAACTTTCAGATATTCGATGCGTGAGCCACTCCATCCATCTTCTGGGTGAAAAAGTCGTTGACCCGTTGGAAAAACATGCGAAGATGTTGGACCCGGAAATTATGAAACTGCTTCCGATCGCAAGAGAATGTCTCGACAATGCCCAAAACGTCTCTTCGGCCATTAGAAACAACTTCCAAGCGTGTTCGGAGATGTCACGTCTACCCACACTGCCAAACGATACTCGCTGGCTGAATGGACTCAAATGTCTTGTGGATGTTACAGAACTGAGCAAAGAAATTCTTGATTTAGTGTCGAAATTGTCTCTGAAAGGCAGAACATCAATGTATTGGCTTAACGATCATCCTGAATACGACAATGCAGTTCTCCACATCTTGAAACCACTTCTGACCTACTCAATCGATTTTCAAGTAAGAAATCCCCATAACTACAACATACACAATAGTATTACTCATCTTTCAGAGACAAGACGAAGTCACAATACACCGTGTTCTTCCTGCCTATAAAGTCATATTGAATAAATGGTCGGCATAGAAGGATCGGGACTTTACAAAGATCGTGGACAAGGATATTGTGGATTTGGATCTGATTGAAGCCATGGCCACATCTGGTCTCAAACCTCTCCAACATTATTATTCACAGTTTGGGACCCATCATTATGGAGCAACATTGCTATCTCCCCGTACAAAGCATATGAAGAACTTTACGAAAGAAGAAAGAAAAAGAGCTGTAAGCTACATCAGTGAAATGTTGCCAAAGGATCTGATCGACCTCAATGTTGACACGACAGAAGTTCCTGACAAGGGAAGTGTTTTAAAAGAGGCGTTGAGAATTTGCTCAAAATTTCAGTACTGATAGTTTGAGATATCCGCAACACAGACTAAAAAATCTAGGTCATAACCCCACCAGGAAGCTGAAAAACTTCGTCTGAAAATTCTGCCCGATTTGGGCGCGCACTTTCCCCCCTCTCCTATACGCCCTCCGCGCCAGAGGAAAATGTCGGTTGCGTGGTGTAGCGGTAAGAGGGTAACACATTAGGTGAGACTCCACGATCTACAGGATTTGAGTAAGTTTCAGTTCAGTGAATCATTACATATACATATGTTACGGTTAGGTTGGACTCCAGAGGACGATGAATGCCACAAAATCCAAATGTATCCCGATGTTATTAATCTTCCTGGAAAACCAAATATGTTCCAATTTGCGAACGGAGAGTTTGTGGAGTTAGACAAAGTCAAGGAAGCGGTCGCTTATTTTGGATCAAAAACGGTATTGAACAATAATGGATCAAAAGTCCGTCCAAGTTTGGAACAAGTTCACACTAAATTTCGATTCATCAGAAACCGCAACCATATGGACAAACTTCGGGAGTAAGAGACTCTGGGTAAAAACTTCTTGTTGTTTTTTTTTCTGAAATAGATATTTTAAGGCTCCACCAAAGCAAATAGGAAGAGCAATTTGGAGTTCATTTCGATGGAGCTCGAGAAAGAAGTTAGGATGCATATTGAAAACGGAAAAATACTCCACGACTCGGTTCTCCGTTTTTTGATTGCTGGGATCATCAAGAAATACAAAATCGACATCGAAAATTTCATTGGATCGGAAAGCTGGTTGAATGGTTGGAAAGCTCGGTTTGGAATCACTTCCAGGAAGATCACAAAATTTGTTTCCACGATTCGTCACAAAACGCGCGATCAGATTGAGAAGGATTCCAAGGAATTTGTGACTGCTGCTAACCAATTTTTTCCATTGTATCATTCATCCAATATATACAATGCGGACCAATCCGGATTCCAGATCGAGATGTATACGGCTCGAACTCTCACTTTGAAAGGATCGAGAAACGTCCATTGCGTTGTTGGAAGTGAATCGTCGACGACACATTCTTATACAGTACTCCCGTTGATTTCGGCATCTGGCAAGCTTCATCCCAAATTATTTGTGACGCTGAAAGAATCAAAAGGGCAATTTCCACAAAAAGGCCATTTCCAAGCTTCAAATCTTGAAGTTACTTGCCATACTAGCCATATCATGACGAAAGAACTTATGAAAGTCTTCTTTCAAAAAATCGTGTTCGACTCGTCTATGCCGAATGATGCTCTTTTCATTGTAGATTCGTGGAACAGCTGGAAAGACACTGCCGCCATCGATTCGGTCACCCCTTCATCCCACAAGTTGAAATTATTGACGATTCCTGCTGGATGCACTGGGCGTATCCAACCATGTGATGTTGGCATTTTTGGATCCTTCAAGAAAGTTGTGAAGACACTCACCAACTATGCCCAATTGACCAACAGCAACTACAAGTTTCAAACCAGGGATGAAACTCTGAAGGTCAGCTACCTATTTGTCAAACAGTTCAAAAAATGAGTTTACAGCTCCTCTCCCTGGTCTGGCGGCAGCTGTGCTCTCCGAAGCTCGAGAAGTGGGCCCGATATGCTTGGGTTGCAGCTGGATACGATGTGCCCCGTCCAGCAAGTTTCGAAACTCCAGCACAACTTCTGTTTCCACGAGGTGTCGCTGGAGATTGTACAATGCATGGTTGCTCCAGCACATCGTTTGTGAAGTGTCTCTATTGTGAAAAATTATTCTGTTTCGAACATTTTGTCATTGACCATCACAACTGTTGATTGATTTTGATTTATTTAATAACATTTTGATAAATTCAGTACCTCTATATCTTCGAAATATTGAAATAAAAGTATGAAAAAAACCAAAAAAAATGTTAACCACAGTGGGGTTCGAACCAGTGGAGTCTCACCTAATGAGTTACCCTCTTACCGCTACACCACACAACCGACATTTTCCTCTGGCGCGGAGGGCGTATAGGAGAGGGGGGAAAGTGCGCGCCCAAATCGGGCAGAATTTTCAGACGAAGTTTTTCAGCTTCCTGGTGGGGTTATGACCTAGATTTTTTTTTTTTCAAACTATCAGTACTGAAATTTTGAGCAAAATTCTCAACGCCTCTCTGAAAACACTTCCCTTGTGAGTATATTTTGGAAATGAGCGATAACACTGAGAAAGCACCGACTCATAGCGAACTGAAAAGGTGCTTTTTCGCTCCCATCTAATTAAAACTAATTCGCTTGCAGATATCTCGACGAAAGTTTCAACGTGAAAAGTAGCGAGAAGATCGAAGAATATTGGAGCCGTAAACGTCTCGATTATCCGGCCTTATATACAGTTGCAACAAAAGTGCTGTCAATCGTGCCTAGTGAGTCGGTTTGTGAGACAACCTTCTCGACAGCTGCATTTCTTTTGGACAAACGTCGAACACGTTTACGCACTGAAACCGTTGAAAAGATCGTTGTCGGTAGTCAAATCGCTTCGAAAAATCCCGATTGGGTTGATGATTTGAAAACTAATTGAATTTTCAACCTTACTTTACTTGTTATGTTTTCTTTTTGTTATATTTGAAAATTGTTATGATATCATGCTGTTTTTGTTTTCGAAAATGAATTTATTGATTTTTAGAATGTATTGAAAAATAACT